CGTAGTGACTACGCCCGTGCTCGAGAAGCAGGATCTTCCCACCATTCTTCTTGCACACGCGCTGCATCTCGGCGAGCATGACGGCCGGGTGGTCGACGCTGCACAGAGCAAACGTGTCGATCACCGTGTCGAATGAGTCGTTCGGCAGGTCCAAGGCCTCTGCGCTCATGACGGCGGTCTTCATGTTGGCGCAAGTTTTGAGCGCTCGATTTGCGCAAGCATGCTAGCGCTGAGATCGGTCAGGAGCACGTCGGCCTCTGGTGCGTAGTAGGGCAGGTTACGGCCCGTGCCAGCCGCCACCTCGAGGATGGACCCTTGTGCGTGCTTTAGGAGGAAGCGCCGCATGAGGCCAATGCCAGCCATGGTTTCGTCTGTGCCAATCTCTACGTCAGCGTACACGCCTCGGTAAGCCAAGGGAAGTAAAACTAACAGCCCGCCCACCTTGATCGTACTTGGCCGAGTTGCGGTCGAAGCGAGCTTGGCGCTCAGCGTCCGAGATTTGATTGGCCATGTCCTTGCTCGGGTCATACATGTACACGTACGCGGCGAGCACGCCGGCGCCGTAGACCGTAAGGCCACCCGCCGCCAAAGCTGCCTTCTTGAGCGCCATGATGTGGCTGTCCGGATATGCTCGATTGGATTACGCAGTCCGCCGCGAAAGTTCAAAATCACCCAAATCTACCTCTTCTCGACCAGTGCTCCTCGACCGTGGTGTGTGAACAGTCCGTCGAGGGTCGACGCTCACAACGACGCACGCCTTTTCACCCATCATATATCAGCAAAATGGGAGCCATTTTGCGGGAAGCGGCCTCACGGGGCTGTTTTTCAATGACCTTGCGGGCATGCAAGCAGCGTGCAACGGAGGTACCGCACATACGACGACTACACCGTTCTTGTCGTCAGGTGAGTACGTATGAGACGAGCCGACCACGCTGCGTATATTGCTCGTGGTAGTTCGCAGGCGAGGAACACGATGTTTGGTGTTTGGATGATCTGCGCGCCAAGGTTGCGTGTGTTTAGCGTATCGTGGACCGCGCGTTTTGGAGGGAGCGCCTCCGAGTGGCTCACGAATGGCAACGTCCCACTCTACCACCAAACTGGGCATTTCGTGCCTAATTAGGACAAAATATGCGAACCGCCGGTTTGAGTGGTGTGTGTGGTGAAACCACTGCGTCCATCGCAACTTGATTCCCTCTTTCTTTGAATAAGATTCGCTGATCTCAGTGCTTTTATACTGTCACAGAAGTCTCTTGCAATGCATAACTTGTGAAAACACATATATACGATCCGATTGGCGCAGCCGTTTGCTCGGCAAGGATCGCCTGGGCCATTTATCTTTTTGAGCAACATGAAGTACCTGGCAGTCACGGGCGGCACGGTCTCCGGCCTCGGGAAGGGCATCACGATCTCCAGCATCGGCGTGGTCCTCAAGGCCTGCGGCCTCCGCGTCACCTCGGTCAAGATCGACCCGTACCTCAACTGCGACGCCGGCACCATGAGCCCCTTTGAGCACGGCGAAGTGTTTGTGCTCGACGACGGCGGCGAGGGCGATCTCGACCTTGGCAACTACGAGCGCTTCCTCAACATCACGCTCACCAAGGACCACAACATCACGACGGGCAAGGTCTACAGCCAGGTCATCCGCCAAGAGCGCCGCGGCGACTACCTCGGCAAGACCGTCCAAGTCGTGCCGCACGTCACCGACGCGATCCAGTCGTGGATCGAGCGTGTCGCGCAGATCCCGGTCGAAGGCGACGACAAGCCCGCGGACGTGTGCCTTATCGAAGTCGGTGGCACGGTCGGCGATATCGAGTCAATGGTGTTCCTCGAAGCCCTCCGCCAGTTCCAGTTCCGCGTCGGTGTCGAAAACTTCTGCCTCGTGCACGTCTCGCTCGTGCCCGTCATGGGCACCGTTGGCGAGCAAAAGACCAAGCCGACGCAGCATGCGATCAAGGAGCTCCGCAGCGCGGGCCTCACGCCGGACGTCATTATTTGCCGCGCGTCGTCGCAGCTTGAGCCCGCGACGAAGGCCAAGATTGGCATGTTCTGCCAGGTCTCGCAGAACCACGTGCTCAGTGTCCACGATGTGAGCAACATCTACCACGTGCCGTTGCTTCTCGCCAAGCAGGGCGCCGCGTCCATCTTGCTCTCGAAGCTTCAGATGATGCACAAGTTTGCCGAGCCGGACCTTGCTGCGTGGTCGGCCATGGCGCACCGCGTCGACAACTACGACAAGCTCGTCAAGATCGCGCTTGTCGGCAAGTACACGGGTCTCCAAGACTCGTACTTGAGCGTCATCAAGGCCCTCAAGCACGCGTCGATGCGCTGCAACCACGACCTCGAGATCGAGTGGATCGAGTCCGTCGACCTCGACATGGTTTCCAAGGTCTCGGAGCCCGAGAAATACGCAGCTGCGTGGGCCAAGCTCAAGTCGTGCCAGGGTATCGTCGTCCCCGGCGGTTTTGGTGACCGCGGCGTCGATGGCAAGGTGGTTACGGCGCAGTACGCGCGCGAAAAAAAAATCCCGTACCTCGGTATCTGCCTCGGCTTCCAGGTGGCGACCATCGAGTACGCGCGCAACGTGCTCGGCTGGAAGAACGCCAACTCGGGCGAGTTTGACGAGTTCACGGACAAGAAGGTCGTCGTGTTCATGCCGGAAATCAACCCGAACGAGATGGGCGGCACGATGCGTTGCGGCGCGCGTTCGACCGTGCTCGAGACGCCCAAGTCGGGCAAGCGCTCGCTCGCGTCGTACTTGTATCAGAACAAGCCCGAGATCCTCGAGCGCCACCGCCACCGGTACGAGATCAACCCCGACTTTGTCGCCGACCTCGAGGGCGCCGGTCTGCAGTACGTCGGCCGCGGCGACAAGGGTCTCCGCATGCAGATCGCCGAGCTCGATCGCGACGTGCACCCGTTTTACTTCGGCACGCAGTATCACCCCGAGTTCAAGACGCACCCGAACGACCCGAGCCCGCCGTTCTACGGCCTCCTCCTCGCGGCCACGGGCGGCCTCGACGCGTACATGAAGGAATGCGACCAGCGCTTCGCTGCCTAAGTTAGAAGACTAGCGTAGACAAACGATGATGAACCATGGATATACACACCTCCCCGTCGTCCTCGATCCCATGCACCAAGTAACCACCCCCATCTTAACTTAATTTATTCGATTATTTATCAGCCCGAATCCCTCTTCTTTTTACAGCGATTTCGCTCGCCCGCCCAAGGCTTGGACTTGGCGTGAAGAGGTCCACCGCCCTGGTCTCCATCGGCCCGTTCTGTATGCATCGTTGGGGCAAGCCAGGATATCGACATGGAAAGAATGCCGAGCTTGGTGACGCCAACGGCCTTTCGCACTTATCGGGATTCCATTTTATATTTTGCAATATCTTCCGATGGAAGCGCTCTTGGCCGACGAAGAGAACCAGTCCCGGCGTACGTTCTGCCAGCTCTCCTTCGGGACGATCTACGACAATGCGGAGCGCGGCCAGACGTCCGTGTCCAACCTGCGCCACTTCTTCGAGCGGCAGAGCGCCGCCCAGCGCAAGCATGCCGAAACGATGCTCGAGTACGTGAACGACGTCTTCAAGCCCACGGAGACCAACGGCATTGGCGAGCTCGCGACCTTTGAAGAGCAAGGCACGAGTATCAAGCGTACGCTTGGCCAGCTGCAGCAGTATGCGCTGGCGCTGCACACGCAGCAGCTCGTGTGGACGCAGGTCGTGGACGAGCACGTCACACGCCCGCTGTCGTCGCTGCAGTCGGCTTCGAGCAGCTACATTCAAACCCTCGAGAATGAGATTGTGCGCGTGAACGAGGAGTACTCGATGGTGCAAACCATGCAGGTCAAGGTAATGCGATACAGGAGGATGTATGCCCAAACGCGCAACTAGGTCAACGACGCTTACATGGAAGCGAAGCGCCTTGTTGCCGAGGCCAAGGCCCAGCAGCGCCGTGCGCTGCACGTACGCTATCCTAATACACTGATGTCTGCTGAAGACGGAGCATAGGAGATTGGCGTCCCGTCGTTCGAACTGCAACGGCTCGCTGCGCGCGTAACCAAGTGTGAGCGCGCGCTTCGCGAAGCGAACGAAGAGAAGCTCGCAACAAAGAAGCTTCTTCTCGCAAAGATCGTAGCCCGCGACGAGATGGCCATGGCCGTCAGCGTCGCGTACCAGCGCGCAGAGGAAGAGCGCATGGACCAGATCGCATCGTGCCTCCAGATGTGGGTGTCGGTCGAGCGAGACCAGCTCAAGTTCCGCGAGGCGCAGCTGCGCGCCATGGACGAACTTGTGACGCGCCTAGACCGGTCCGCAGATCTGCAGCTGCTCATTCACGTGCGTGCTCGGCCCTGCTCTGCCACCTTTTTTGACTTGCCGCGTAGAACCGTCAAAACCCCGACAACATGCATTTCCAAGGAAAAGCGCTCTCGATCTTGGAGTGGCACTGGGGGCGCGAGTTGCATCAAGCAGCAACGACGACCGCGGACGATCCATTGGACGAAGACGAGCTGGACGCGGCCAACATTACAGTGGCTGCACCGTCGCGACCATCGGTGCAAGACAGCCTCTCGTATCTGTTCGAGTCCACGGGGCTGCCAGACGAGAGCGACGAAGAAGTTGAGCTGCCTCCGCGATTCTTCGACGATATTGCGCAGTGGTGCGCGACTCACGAGGGCCGCCTCGAGTTTGTGAAGACGCTCAACCGCCAACGCAGTGTCGATACGAAGCTCTACCGCGTCGACTGCTTTCGGCACCTTGTCGCGTGCTTTGACGTGTCTTTGATGCGTGCGCCGCCCAGGACGACGTCAAAGCGGCCAAGACCGCGATGATGCTTGCTGCAACGTTCTATTACGTGCCAATCGAGCACCGCGAGGCCGCACGTGCAATCGACGACGAGGGCCACCACCGCATTGCGCGCAAATACGTGCAGGAGGACATCAAGCACCATGTCATTTGGCGCAACGCCAAGTTTTGGGAGAAGGCGCTGCTGCTTGCCATTGGCGAAGAGCTTCACAAGGCACCGCAGGAGGTTCCATGGGAAGAACTCCCAACCAACGTACCCCGCAGCCACGGTAGACTCTATCCATGATTGGTATCTGACGCTGGTTTAGGCGTATTTACGCGAGAAGAAGCTGTGAGTCTGGTACACAACATTGTGGTAGACGACAGGATTTGTCTACATACTACGGCTTATGTCGAACCATGTAGTTTGGGCAACTCGGATCGTTCACGCTGAGCATGCTTGAGCTGGACGTTCCAATTGAAGACATTCGCCACTTTATCGAGACCATGTGCGACGCCCACGAGCTCACGGAAGACCAGCGCTTCATTCTGCGCGCCAACCTTCGCGACATTGCGCTCAAGGGCTCGACGCTGTAGCACCGTAGTAGTCGAAGAGCAGCGTCGATTGGATGGCTTTAAACCGAGTAGTGTTTTCGATGGGCCGTTGTCCAAGGGGAAGCTGCTGTAAGACGATGGCGAGCGATGGCTCTTTGGTCAAGAGGACATGGAGGAGTGGAAGGTACACCTGGGCATTGCCCTCGGTGCTCGCAAGGCGTAAGCCCACATCGAGCTGCCGGGTCCACTCGGCAGCGGTAAATAGACGGCGGTCCAGAAGCCACTGTAGCGTGGCCCCATGAGATAGTTCAAATGCAATCTCGACGGCAAGTGTGATATATCGTTGACCGAGAGCTTGATCTTGGAACCACGGGCCATGGCAGAGCACATTCAAGCGTAGAAATGGCGACGCGACCAGGGCTTGAAGGACGAGAAGGTGGTTGCGACGAGTCGCGAGCACGAAGCCGTGGCCTACGCAATCCTCGCTCCAGGTCGCGTTGGAGGCACTGAGGAGTGCGTTCACAACGGGGACGTAGCCCTCGCGGCAGGCTTCAAAGAACGCGGCTTCGGCATCGACAGGACTGGCGGCTAAAAGAGCGAGGACGACGTGGACTTCACCAAAGTGCGCTGCAAACTGCATCGGCGACAGCTCCTTGACGGAGCCAGCTTTGGTCTTTGCGAGTACGGACACCTGTCGCTGAAGGCGCGGGAGGTGGGCTGCGATCTTTTGCGCTCGTTCAAAGTCCCATTTCATGTGGTTAACTTCGCGTTGGTCGAGGACCTGCTGCATAATGTCGTCCAAATCCACGTCTGGCTGGGATTGAACGCTGTCTTGGTACAGTTTGGCAGCGATTTGGACCTCGGCATCTGTCAAGTCCCTCGAGCGGGATGTGACGAGAACGGCGGTGCCTGTGGGCGGTGGCTTGTACTTGCGACTACACAGCGCCTCCCACGTCTCGCCGAGCAATAGTCCGTTATGAACCATGCCATCGGTCAAGGCGGCCAGGAAGGCGTCCTCGAAGGACATGGTCGCAACGGCCTCCGACATGCGTCGATCCACCCAAGGAAATGGCGAAACGGCTTTGGTGGATAGCAATGCTGCTTTATAAATTACAGAGAGGGCTTCGACTTACATGTCACCTTAGCTCCATCGCTTACGCGTCGAAGAATAAGTGGCTGCGGAAGCTGTTGGCGCTGGCTGCTTAATCGGGACAAGGACGCGAGATGGCGGCAGTGTGCTGCCGTGATTGATTGTTGGGACGCGGACGCGGCTCGGTTGTTTGCTGCTGAGATTAAGGTCATCAATCATGAACAGTAACAGCGTAGACGAACCTTGCCGTGGGTAGCTGATCTGGGAGCGGTTTACGCGACGGGGCGACCCGGCGTGGCGATGGCTTGGGCTTTGGCCCAGGCGACTGGAAGGTCACTTGCTTTGGCACACGGTTTTCACTCTCGCCTGGAGTATCATCGTCGTTCCTTAGTTTCTTGAGAATGCTATGGCCAGACGCGCCATATGAGCGGCCATACAAGACGACGATGCGCAAACCTTTGGTTCGTATAGAGGAGCACCGTACTCTTACGCTTGGCGCTGTGCGCCTGTGTGTGTTGCGTGAACGACTTTGCCGCGGACGCATGGATTCGTTGAGACCGGCGGAGCTCTTGCACTGGAGATGGGTCCTTCGTGGCACGTCTCGTTGCTAGTTCCTGCTCTTTCTCGTGGAGGTCGCCCTGTAGCTGCTGCAGCTCTCTCGCTTGGCGATCGATCTACGCGGAGTCCTAAGACTTGTCACAGCCAGGCCGCAGGCATGTACCGTGTCTTGGAGATTCTGCACTTTGGCTGCATGAGCGTCCTCGGCCAGCAAGAGCTGCCGATGTCCTTGGTGTTGATCAAGGAGGCGCCACAGCATGCCCCCGAGGATCTCCATGTCCTCCGACCACATGGAGAAGGACATGCGCACATCGTCCTTGAACTTGCGCATGGTCTTCCGCAGGTCGTGGAGCTGGCCAGCGTACGCGCTGACCGGGTCCATGTTCCAGAGCTTTGGCGGAAACCTGCGTACTGGTATGAGGCGGCTTTAAATTTTGAAATAATCCGGATATTGTAACCGGAAAGTTGCCCAATGGGAAGAGCTTGAATGTTGTTGGGCTGACGTTACCTTGGACGTGCGATTCGAGGAAAAGGGTTTGCGAACGGGAATAGTCTACTTGACGACCCAATCAATCAATCAATCAAGCAAGCAATCAAACGCGTTACCGTTGAAATCAAATGAGCAATAACTTACTTAAATAGTTCGCATACGTAGTGCTACGCCTGAATGCGTGGGGTTTGGCACCAGCACTTGGCCGTTGGGAGTGAGCTGCGCACTGAGAGATCCATCGATGACCCAAGATTTCAATTATTCGATGCAATAGCTGCATGGACTTCGATGACCCAAGATTCAATTATTTGATGTAATAGCTGGATGGACCTGCAAGCCGGTCACATATGAGGCAATAGATGGCGCTCTCGCAACGCTCTTACAACGACGACGTAGCTCTACGCGATTGCTGGCGTCGGATGCGGTGGAGGGAATAAGACGGCACTAAAGCACTGGAAGAGGTCCGACGACGAGAAGAACCCACGCTCGACGGCGTGCATGTGACGCAGGAGGAATCCAGCTTCCGATGGGGTGAGATCAAGCGAGAGGCGAAAGCAAACATGCTTGAGGTCTGCGTTGCGGCACGTCGCGTCATACTGGCCACCGAGAGCAGCGCCCGTCGTCATCTCGCGCGACGCCAGACCCTTGAACGCGTGCCGAACGATGATGCTCCCAGTGCGAGACCAGTTGTGCACGCCGACGTCGCGTAGCGAGCTCTCGAGCGCAAGCTTTCGCCGAATGGAGCTTTGAACACAAGACGCGTCCCACGTCTCGATCGGCTCCCCTCTATTCAGCGCTTAGTCGTGCGCCGATGTATTGGGCGACGTACGAAAGGCCCGTGGGCGACCCCGTGTGCTGCGCTTGGTTGAGTCCCCGAATGAGCTCCACAAAGCCTAGGGAATTGTTTCGTGTCGAGGGCTCGATGTCCGAGAACCTACTAAGCTCCTTGGCACCACCCGGAACAATGCTGCGCACGAAAGCGACCGCGTCTGGCAGCGTTGGGATGTCCAAGCCCATGCGCGCCGACGTAAGGATCTCGGCGATCGCGTCGAGGCTCAGAACGATGCAGCCTCCGACGGACGGTTTGTACGGGTACAGGTCAAAGCACAGCTTGAGGTCACTGCGCTTCTCCAGTATGCTGTTGATGAGGCCGAGTTGCTTCACTGCGGCCTGTCGTATCTGGCGCTCCTCGACAAGCTTGGGGTCCATGGTCGGGTTGGGCTGCAGCGCAAAGGTCAAGTCCTTATCCTTCTCTTGCACCGGTGGCTCGATTTCGTCGTAGCTAAGCGATAGGCTCGACCGACGAGCTGGGTAGTCGTGGTAAACCGAGGCTGCTTCTATAGCGACACCTGTTGAGTCGTTCTACGATAGCAAGCGGACGTACGGGGCTCGTGCGTTGCGGGTGGATCCAACAGCAGCGCCGTATTCGAGAGATGCGTGGCGTGGCGGCGACGCTTGGCGCGAAGAGCTTCCAGCGTTGCAGCGATCGTTTCGTAGGCGACAACGCCGTCTTTCCGGGACGACAAGGTTGAGATGGCAGTTGACGCATCACTCTGGGACATGAGCAGCCCGGCCTCCTGCATGGCCCAGATAAAGTCGGCTTTGGACAGCGAGCCCGTGTGGGCAGAATCGATGCGCCGACATACGCGCAGCACATTAGGAACCTGAATCAGTGGTGGTCAGAGGCGTTTGCAGCTGTTGACGCACCTTGACTTCAAGGGCATCAATGAACCGCTGCTCTTCAAAGCGATACATGCGTTCGTCAGCGTTTGCCTTGACATCATAACTTTCTTCGCCCGCGCTGGCTTCTTCATTAACGTCGTGCTGCAAGTGCTTGTAAAAGTCGTCGACAACGACGTAGCCACGACCGGTTGGGTCCAGTGTCCAAAAGAGTCCCTCTACGTCCGCGTGCCTACATCCGAGTAAGTGGAGCACTAGACATCCAACCGAACCGAGAGACGATGCCGAGCTGAGCCAGCGACTGCCGCAACTGGCCGCGCGTGAGACGACCAAAGCGATCCCCAGGAAATACATTCCGGACACTCTCGAGATGAGCTGGGCCCGTCTCTTTAAGCTTTGCGAGCTTCTGCCGAATACGTGCCTCGAGACAATTGTCCGGCGGTCGCGACTCAGTCTGGATGATGGGCAGCTGCAGAAAGGTCGCGCCAAACTCGGACTTTTGCTTTTGGTCGGGCATGCGCACGAGGCTGTGTTGGGCTTCGGCGTTTCTACAGCGCGCAGATAAGCATAACACATATAAACAGGATGATTGGAAACCGTTGCTCGGTGGTCTTTCCAGCGGCGAGAGCTGACCCGCTGGACGACCCATCCGACGCCATCTTCTTGCCGCGTTTCGCGGGTGATCCTGGCGCTGGAGCGCATGATGCACCTAGAAATCTAGATCTCGATGATACTCGAGATTGTCCCCCTTACCATGAAGCACAGATGCTGTCTTGTCATGCAGCGCGGCGTGCAACGAAGCAATCGTGATGTCGCCATCCGAATTCCTGCGTGCACTCAGTGCGTAACGTAAACGCGATTCGGCTCGTACGTGAACGGTTGGAGGCGCAGTCGAAGGCCCGTAAAGTCGGCATTTGACAAGGTAATGCCACACGCACCGAGCACAGACCGAAGGTCGTCAGGTGACAAGGCGTCTCGGCCGTCCTTTGCCCACTGCGCCAGCTGAAGCTTGATGGCGTCAGTGATGGCCAAGACAGCCTCCCATATCTACGCGTCGGTGCGTACATGAGCATTCAACTTTTGGTTTTGCACCTTTTGGTTGTGGAAAAGCGACGACATTTTTACTCCAAGCAGTGCGAGAAAGCCGCTGTAAAGCAAGCCGCGCGTGTCGAGCACTGTTAGGGGCAGTTGCGCGTAGAGCTGGTCGTATTCTTGAAGCGTAAAGTAGATGCCGAGGTGGCCCATCGCTAGTTCAAACTCTTCCTTCGTCAAGTAGCCCGTGCACCCGACATCCATTTTCAGAAACATGTCGCTGAGCTTGTCGTAATTGATCGTCGCGAGCTCAAGACCGCGCCGGAGGTTCGCGTGCGAATCCATTTGCCCCCTTGACCGGTTGATGCTCGGGACGGGCGACGGCGCGACGACCGCCGCGCTGCGTTGCTGGCTCCAATGGCCCATGATCTGGCAAAACGTGTCGATGTCTAATGCAGCGTTAAGCGTGCATAGAGTACACGATTGGCCGCACCGAGCTTCTTGGCCGACGTCGGGCAAAACGCGAGGAAGAGGTCGCGGGACTGAGCATGCGAAATATCGTGCCCAAAAAGCCGCTTCAGCGCGGGCTGGAACTCCTTAAAGTCGAGTCGGTTGTCGCCGTTCAGACTGAAGCGCCGCAGTGTGTCTTCCGGCTGCCGCTGAAGGCGCGCAAACAGCTCAATTTGGTGGCGAAATCTCTCGACGAGACTTGCATTGTTGGCCAACGCCCGGATCAGGTCCACGTCTACGACACATGAGGGTGCCACGGCGCAGCCGCCTCGTACTCTACCTGCAGGGTTCATCGCGTCGAGCTTCGAGAGCGTTGAAATTGGAGCGGCCTTGCGCTGGAAGAGGTCGCGGCCAAGCTCGGCCATCGAATGCATAATCACCGGAAATCGTTCGACCGCGGTATCTTCAACAGTCACTGCCGAGATTCGGCAATCCTCGCCGCCAACTACCAACTGGCGTAAGCCCAACAGGTTGACCGTGGAATCTCAGTGACAGTATCTCTCTCGCACGTCTGCCCGGCTACTAGTACGACGCCGAGGCTCGGGTGTATGCAGCGTAGGGACACTGGCGAGTCCATTTTACACTATTTTAAAATCTTGAATAGTGTATGCGACAGCGCCAACGTCGGTAACAAAGTGACTTTTGTACGGTGCGCGATGTCTCGGAAGTGGGCATATGACCTGAACGCGGGCGGTTCGGCCGCGCTGGAGCCGCTCGGCAGCAACAAGCACACGCTCGACGTACGCCATTCGCACGCCTGTCGACGAGCTGACGTCTGCCACCTGTAGGAGTCGCACGGCGCCGTCGCGACCAAGGGCGTCGACAACACGCTCGAGCTCAAGAAGAAGGTAACGCGTAGCAGCCCTGTGCCTAATGCCTATGGCCTCTACGCTAGCGTGCCAACGAGGTGGCTACGGCGCCTTTCAAGGGCCTCTTCCAGACGGGCTTTATGATGTGGATGTCTGGATCCTCGATCAACATTTTCAGCATCATGATCACGGCGATGGCCTTTGTCAACCCAGTCAAGGCCCTCTTCAACATCAACGGCGGTACGCTTCGTAGAACACTGCAACGCCCATACTCTTTGTAGCGTTTGCCGCCTTGGACGACGGCAAGCTCGACTTGCTCCAATTCAAGCTCATCTTCATCGCTTGCAACTTCGTCGCGATCGCCGTTGCCCTCTACAAGTGCGGAACGATGGGTCTCCTCCCGACCACAAGCTCCGACTGGACGTGGCTCCTGCCCATCAAGCAGGTGCGTTGCGACAGCGGTTTATATCGTTGGACGCTCATGCGCTTGTGTAGGCTGTGGAGGCCTCGGCAGCTGCCGTCCCTGTCTTTTAGCAACATCTCGAGACGTCTACTACAATCCAATGTCCTTGGTTGTGTTTGATACATATGACTATGACATGTTGCGGCCGCCAGTTTCAGGCGGGCATCGGTACTCCTCGGGCAGCATCGAGCGCTGCAAGGCGTTGAAAGCAAACCGCCGCCGGCCCGTGTTCTTGAGCGCGTTCTCTATCCGCACGCCGCGCGACCGCATCGTCGAGACGATCTCGGGGATCTTGGCCTTGGGCAGCTCGTGGTTCCAGTGCAAAAGGTGACCTAATAGCAAACGTGTGAGATCCGATTGTCTTGAAGCGCGTACCTTGCTCGAGGGTCACCGACATGCCCGTTCGGTCCTTCGCGCTTTTGCAGACCGTGACGCGACCTCCATGTAGCAGTCGCACGATTCGCGACGAGAGCTGGAGCACCTCGGGCATCTTCTTGCGGCTCGCCATGCTCGCTTGCACCGCAGCCTCCAGCAACGCCATCGTCTCCTGCACAAGCGCCGCGTCGGGCGTGCCACCGTGTTGGTCCACGTATGCCGCGACAAGCGGGCGCAGCGCCACGATGTTGACTTCGTTGATGTAGTCCTGCAGCCGCTTGTGGTTGTGCGTCGACATGGCCAGCGTCTGCTTCTCGTTGATGCCTGTCGAGAAGAGCAGCGGGTGCACGACGACCGTGGCCTTGCGCCGAGGCACGTGCACCTTGCCGAGGCACTTGAGCACGACGCGCACAACAAACTCGTCGTCCGTCGACTTCGCGTGGGCGTGCGTTCGCGCGCCAAGGAGTGCATCGTCCATGTTGGTGTAGAGCTCGACACAAACGACGGGGTTGCCCGCTTTGGCCTCGCTTGGCGAAGACGCCCGCACGTCGTCTTCGACGAGGAGCATGCGCACGCGCTTGAGCGAGGCGACGGCCACCATCATATCTTCGAGCATGCCGATCTCGGTACCGTGCGTCGAGAGGAGCGATTCGACCTCAAAGAGAAAGCCCATGTAGAGCAGTTGGTCCAGAGGTGCCTGCTTGTCCTCCGAGACGATGAGCTGCAGCTTGTGGCAGAACGCTGTCACGAGTGTCGAGAGCGCCTGCGGCACGACAACATCGAGGCGCGTCTCGATGGCCCACTCGAGCTCGACGCGCTTACGCTCCGACTGCGAGAGGTACTGCCACGTCGACGGAAACATGTTGGAGACCTTGAGCGGGCTTCGAAGCTTCGTGGCCGCTTGCTGCATGCTGTGAAGGCCTCCGTTCTTGAACTTGTGCACATGCGCAGCAAAAGCGCCGACCGTGATCGTCTCGTAGATGGCGGCGTCCGCGTTGGCAGCCTTGGACTTGGCGACGTGCATCTCTTGGACATGCAGGTTGATCGGGAGGAAGCGCAAGAGCGAGTCCTTCTTCTGCGTGCTTGCCTTGAAGCGCAGCTGACGCGACTCGCGGACGTACACCACGTGGCGCGCGCGCTTGAGCAGCACGACGTAGTCGCGGCGCAGCTTGGCGCGTTCGACGAGCCAGTCGCGGCACTGGCGACGATCAGCCTCTTCCTGGATCTGCTCCAGCAAGTTCTCGTAGAGCGAACCCATCGACTGCTGTCGCTGCAACCGCGACGCTTCGAGGCGAGGAACTGCTTGAGCTCTTGCTCGGCAAGAAGGTACTCCTTCGTGCGCCGTGCGAGGATGATGTCGAGGTACTGGCACGGAATCACGTTCGTGTACGGACTCTCCATGAGGTCTTCGACGACCAAGATGTCCTGGTCTTGCAAGTGAAACTGCGCCGTAAGAAGCGTGTCAGCCGGCGACGTAAAGAGCGTTGTTGTGTGGGCCTTTGGTGCGTTGTTCTGCAGCATCGAGAGGTGCGTGCGCCGCAGCTCATGGTCGCGGACCATCTGGATGTCGAGGCGGCACGGCAGCAAGAATGAGCAGTTTTCCGGTTGCTCCACACTTGCAGTGCCTCGGTAAAGTGATCCATGTGATCGAGCAGGAGCTGCGACTCCATCTGGAACGAGCATACGCACTGGTCCGACGGCGACACAAAGAGCATGTCGTCGTCGCCTTGGTCCTCGTCGTCTTCGTCGTCCTCATCGTCTGAGTCGCTCTCCTCTTCCAGGTACTCGAGCCCATCGAGCGGCGTCGAATGCGCGCTGCTGCTGCTGGCGTTCGACTTGATCGTACTGGCGCCGTAGTGCGTCGAAGGCGTCCGGGCAGTGTACACGAGGAACCGGACTGGAATCGAGCTCGTCAGCGGCAAGAGGATCTGCGGCACGGACAGAAAGGCCACATGATGCTCGTCCCGAACCGTCTCAGGCACCAGCGTGTCCGTCGAGTCGCCACGCACCCACTGCCCCGCGTCGTCTTGAGTTTCGATCGCCACGTAGCAGCCGCGGGGGATGTGCTGTGGCACAAGAAGACGGAGCGAGACACCAAAGCTTGACGCTTGGTTCAACATCTCGGCGTCCAGCTGCTTGATGAAGCTGCGGCTTGACGACGTTACAACTGATGAAGGGAGGTCGTCCAAAACCTCGTCTTCGTCGTCGTCCAAGTACGTGTCGGGCACGAGCACGGTCGTACCTCGGTCGAGCGGCAGGTCCTCAGAGCCATCGTCGTCTTCCTTCTCTGCAAATGTGATACCAACGATGCGAGGCGTCACGACGGCTTCGCACGAGCAGTCGGTCTCCTCGTCGTTCTTGCGGAGCGATTTGGTCGCCGAGTTCCATTGGAGAAAGATGAAGCAGCACGGCGGGACGCACTGGGGGAGCCAGACGGTCGTGAGATACCACACGTAGTACGGGACTTCGTTTTGGACAAACTGCATCGAGAACGCAATGAGGTACGTGGCTGTCACGACGCCGATGAGCGACGTGTAGAGGCGCAGCGCCTTCATGAGGTAGATCTGCTGCGGCGAGTACGCGATGAGCTGCATGATCTTCGAGCCGCGGTGCATGACCATGAGCCCAAGGAAGAGCACACCGAGCGTGAGGAGCGCCGAGACCGAGTACGTCGTGTTGGAGAACCACGTAAAGAAGGCCTGATCCGCTACCGAGAGGTGTTGCTTGGCCATGTAGCAGAGTGCAAAGTACGGCTGGATGTCGGAGAAGACGTACTGGAACGTCGTGCCGTTCTTGCACGTGTACACTGGGTCCTGCATGTTGGTGGTGCTCTCGGCCTCATAGACCTTGCGGATCGTGTCTTGGTGGACGTTCGCGGCGCCAAACTGGAAGGCGTAGTAGCACGCGTTCAGGCACAGAAAGAGCACAAAGAGCGAAAACTTGGGCAGCTTCCGGACAGGCGGCGAGAGCACCGAGGCCCAATGGCAGCAGACGCTCAAGAGCATCGTGAACGCGAGCGATGTGACGCCGCACTTGATCGTAAAGTAGTTTTCCATGTGCTTCATGTCACCCGAGATCCACAGCACGTTGTTCACGAGTCCGAGGAGGAGACCGGTCACGGCCGTGATCGCCGTCATGTCGCTAAAGATCGCAATCGGGTGGAACGACCAGTGCATGATGCCAAGCCCGTGCTTGAAGAGCATGAGGAAGCAGAACGTGAGGCTCAGCACGAGCAGCACCAGCGAGATCCAGTTGTAGGGGCTCGAGGGCAGCGACGTCTGGAGGTCCTTCATAATCGTCGTCACGACCACGCCTTGGGCCAGCATCGAGTCGCCCGCGGAAGCCGTAATGTTGATGGACGTGAACCGCTCCTGGTACAGCGACTCTGGGTTGCGCACGTTGTGCACGTCGATGAGCACCGACGCGTTGGGTGCAATGTCTTCGGGCAGCGTCACCGTCCAGACCCTCGGGTCAGGCTTGTAGGTCGCCACCAACGGCCGCGACTTGTAAAAGAAGGAGCACTCGCCCACCGTGTAGCCGCTGTTGAGAAAGTCGAGCTTGAGTTGCGTCTGCTTCGGCAGCAAGACGTCCGAGACAAAGATGAGCGTCGCGTTCGACACGGCCTGCGAGAGGATGTTGGCCGTGAAGAACGCTGGCTGCGAGATGCGTCCCGCGTTCACGCTGCGCACGTAGCCCGCGCTAATGTACACGCGGTAGTCTACGTTCGGTAGCTTGGCGGTAAAGTAGATCGGAAAGTGTTCTGGCGGCAGCACACTCTTGGGCGTCGAGACGTTGGTTAAAACAACGCGAAAGCGGGCGGCGCTCAAAGCGGCGACCGACTTCAAGTTCAAGCCAATGTACGAGTAGGCGCCCCACTGCATCGTTCGGCAGAGACCGCTCACGGGGCTGGCGTTGATCGTCTTAGAGTCCTGGATTGTGCACCCGCCCGTCGTCGTGTTCCACGCCCACCCCGTCGGGATGCGCACAAAGATCTCGAGGATCGACGTGCCCGCGGGCTCGCCGTTCGATATGAGCACGCGGCTGTAGTCGTTCGGGTCGAACGTCATCTCGACGACCGCATTGGTCTGGCCTGGCATGTTGTTCTGGGTCGCGTCCCACGTGTAGTCTGTCACGAAGCCTATGTTTGCGCTTGTGGGTGGCGTGTGGTCGGTCATGATAGGCGTACCATTGCTGCAGCACGGCTTCGTGCACTGCCATGGGAAGCTCTGGCTGGTGTCGTTCGGAAGGAAAGAAACGCTGCAGAGGTCTTCGTCGAGACGGCAACCAGGGTACTTCAGGCATGGTTTCCACGGTTTACGGTTCTTCTTGTACTCGTCCGCATCAAACCGGCCTGTGCATCGTCGTCATGGGCCTATGGATTCCATGTGCGTGTACACGCACCGTTGACGCAGCAGGGCAAGGCCACGCAGGCACCGCCGACGACGCTGTTAAGCGGGCCGGGTTCGCAGCAGAGCGGCGGCTGGGTGTTGGTGCTGTTGTTGTTGCAGCACGGCTCGCACGTATACGGGCTCTGCGCCACGTCCGCGTCAGCCGCGACGACGAGCGCTACGAGCAGCACGAGGTAGGTACTCCGGCGGGCCCACAGGGAGCGCCGAGTTGTCGCCATCGAGGGGAAGTCGCTTCTTCGAATGTCCTGGCGACCTGCGATCCGGTTACCGCGATTACTTACTGTTTGTATGAAATTTCAGTCGGGAGCCAGTTCGGTCGACCATCTTTGTGTCCCGCAGCCATTGCTCACACTGCGTCGACCGGCGCGGATGCACGATGTTGTTCAAACTACTACTGCGCAAGTCGACGCTGCAGCACGCAGCTATTAGCGTGCAGAGGATTGAGGCGACGCCATCGCTGGGAGCGGCAGAGCACCTCCTCATCTACGTGAGGTACATACGCAGTCGCAAGCCGAGCAGATGGGGCCTTGCAACTTGTTCCGACCCGTATCCGGTTCGCGTCCGGTTGACCATATTTGGCTTTGTTCAGGAATGATCGAGGTTGCGCTCGAGACGGCCGTCGCCAAGCGCGACGCGGACGGCAGCCGGCGTCACCTGCACGTGCTCTCGGACGACAACGTCGACTTTTGCTCCAACGATTATCTTGGATTTGCGCGCAGCCGCGAGCTCGCGGATGCGATCGCGTCGGCGCCGCACGGACATGGGTCCACCGGCTCGCGCCTTGTGACTGGCACGTCCCAGCTGCACTTGGATATCGAAGCCGACCTCGCCGGCTTTTACGGGTACCCGTCCGCCCTCGTCTTCAATAGCGGATACCTCGCCAATTTGAGCGTGCTCTCCGCTGTACCACAGCCTGGTGATATCGTCCTCTACGACGAGCTTGTGCACAACTCGTGCCGCGAGGGCCTCCGCCTCGGTCGAGCGACGTCGGTCGCCTTTCGCCACAACGACGTCGAAGATCTTCGGGCGCGCCTCGCGTCGGCGCCAGCGACGGGCAACCGTATTGTTGTTGTCGAGTCCGTCTACTCGATGGATGGCCACATTGCGCCACTCGCCGCCATGGTACATACGCCCTTGCACACAAAATACATGTCGAACACGACGATAGGTGCGGCTGTGTCGTGAGTATAACGCGGCGCTCATCGTGGACGAAGCGCATGGTGTTGCCGTCGACGGACCGCATGGCGCGGGCGTCGTCCGGGCCCTCGGCCTGGAGAAAGACGTCTTTTGCACCGTGTACACCTTTGGAAAGGGCATGGGCATCCACGGCGCAGCTGTTTGCGGCCCACCCGTTCTCAAAGAGTACCTTGTCAACTATGCGCGGCCGTTCGTGTACAGCACGTCGCTGCCGGCGTCCGATATGGTCACGATCCGCGCCGCGCATGCATATTGCGCCAGTGCGGCCGGCGACAGCGCGCGCCACCAGTTGCAATCGCGCGTCCGACGCTTTCGGAGCCGCGTGCGTGAACATGCGGTGGCCATTCCGCCCGCGAGCTTGCTCCAGAGCGCTACTGCAATCCAAGGCATCGTGTGCCCAGGCAACACGCGCGTACTCGCGGCGGCTGCCCATCTTCGAGCACACGGCTTCAACGTTGTCGCGATTCGCGCCCCGACTGTGCCCGTGCACAGCGAGCGCTTGCGCATCATATTGCATGCGTACAACACGGACGCCGAGATCGACGCGCTCGTCCATCATCTTGCGGCGTTCTTCCTGCAGCACCCGGCGTCAAAGCTGTAGTTGTATGAATAACATAGAAGAGTAAACTCGAATGGAGCCTAGAATGCCATTGTTTGTTTACGCCGCCCAAACGAGGCCAGAGCAGTCTCATTGCATGCACGTACTTGATTTCTTTGTAGCATTAAAGGACATTAGTCCTTGAGGCAGCGCGGCGGCTCCACAGGAAACGCATCGTCGGGGCGCATGCGAGCCTTCCTGTCCCCAAAGAGCTCGCGCTCCTTTGCGTCGTAGACGTAGTTGAAAAGCTTGAAGCCCGCGACAAAGACGACCGCGCCCAAAATACCTACAGAGATTGATCGGCTGCAGCCATAGGTGACGGTCCTACCGATTTGTGCGAGGAGAAAGAAGCTGCCGATCGGGTTGTCAGCCAACATGTTGTGTCTCCTGGATCTTGCGAATAAAGAAGACATCGAAACTTCAAATTATATCTTGAAAAGGCATGCTAACGGGCCGCGATCTCTTGGAGGCGAGCGAGGAGCCGCGACCGTTCGGCGCTCTGAGCCTGGAGCTCAACGACGTCGGCCGTCGTCGGCAGGCAACGCAACACTTCGGCGCTCTTGGCCTCGAGCGCTTCCAGTTGCGCGATAACACCATATATGCCAATGTCCCCGCTTTCCGAGTCAGACTCGTACACGCAGCTCATGGCGCGGGAGGCGCGCCGCGAGCGGATCGCTATCTGAGAGCCGCCGTACGGCAGTAGCTCAACCATTTCTTCAATTGCTGCGCACGTTGGGCGCGCTTTGGGGTCAGCCTGGACCAGCTGCAAGACAAGGTTTCGCGCCGTCATGTGCATCGTGGGCGGCAAGATGCCATCGCGCGCCTGCATGAGCGTCACGTACTTCTCCATTTGCGTTTCAAACACGCAAAAGAGCTCACAGAGCACGAGTCCGAGGCTGTAGAGGTCGGTGGACGCATCGCAGACGACGTCGCCGCGAATCTGCTCCGGACTCGCGTACAGCGGCGTACCCACACCGGTATCTTGGGCCAAGGTCGCCGACTCGCGCGTCGCCAAGCCAAAATCGCCGATCTTGACGCACGCGCCTTCGGTGAGGAAGACGTTGGCGGGCTTGATGTCGCGGTGCACAAGACCTTGGCTGTGAATGTACTGGAGACCAGCAACAAGTTGGTTGAAGATCGCAAAGTTGGCTTGCACGTCGATCGACTTGCGTTCCTGCAGCCAGTGCTGCAGCGAGTTGCCCTTGTACAACGCCATTTGGATGTACACATCCATTTGGAGCGTGACCGGCAGGCGACGTGGCGGTCGTGGCGGCGACACATCATCTTCGCTTGCCGTGGACGACGTAGTGCGCTCAAACTCGACTCGGTCCAGGGACGCGTTCGTATCGTCTTCGTCCCAGCTCAAGAACGAGCTGTCTTCGTCGCCTTCCGACCGCTGCGTCGACGGACGTGTGGGCGGTGACGACCCAGTGACGACCGTGCCAAGGATCCACGTATTGAAGTATCGACACACGTTTTCGTGGTCCAGACTCGCAAGCAAATGCACTTCCCGTAGGATTTTCTCCTTGATTTCGGTCGGCTGAAAGATGGATCGGGGCGTGAACTTGAATTGCTGGATCTTGATCGCGTATGCGCGGCCGTCGACCTTGGACTTGCACTTGTAGACTTTTCCAAACCCTCCTTGAGCGACAAGCTCGTGCTCGGTGAAGTCCGTCTCGAACGGATTCTGACGCCCGAATTCGCCGAGGCGCGCGGCCTTGGCGTCGGCGCCGCCAAAGAGATTGCTCTTGGCGACGACCTTGTTAGCTGGCGACGACACGCATCGGCTGAGAGCAACGCGGTTCAGACTTGTCTGGGTCTGTAGCGGCGCGACGCTCGCAGGCCGTGCCAGGTTACGCTCTTTGCCGGGCTTGTCCATCGAGACTTGGTAAAAGTAAATGTCGGCGTAGCACGGTTTCAAATCCAGGGCTCGTAAAACAACAATATCCTTATCGCCACTTATTAACACCTTCAATGAATTGTTTTGATCCCCGCCTATAACCGGTTACAAGGCGCCTCGGATAAACAAAAAAGTACTAAACGAGATCATTCCATTGGAAATACAGCTCAAAGGGTATCACGGTACACGCTGGCCGTCTGTTTTATCGGTTATTTTTAGCTTGCGATGAAGGCGAGAGCGGGATTCGGCGCGGCCAAGCCGCTGCCAGGACAACAAGGCTACAAGGTGAAGGAGTCTCAGCGCCTAGAAGCCGATGCGCAGCGCATGGAGGAAGACCTTCTCCGCGTGCGCGAGCGTATGGCGCTCGAGGCGCAGCAACGGGAGAAAGGCAAGGCCAAGATGAAGGACGGCAATCGCTGGCGCAGTGCGCGAGAAGACCGCGGAAGCGTGCGGAAGTATGCACAAGACGTCCGCGATCGACCTGTTGGCGAGAAGCGCAAGACGAAGAGCCAAGCGCCATCCCCGGGCCCTCGGCTGGACGCTTGGAGCGTCGCCCACGTTCTCGAGTGGCTAAGTCGCGTCGGTCTCGGCCACCATACGTCGACATTCGAATTCAATGAGGTGTCAGGCTCGGTGCTCATGGAGATCACACCATCCGACTTGGACTACCTGCAAATCACTGATGCAACGGAACGCAAGGCGATCTTTCACCAAATCGAGCAGCTGCGTCGCACCTCGGGGCCACCGCCTGTGGTCAAGGTGCCATTGCCCACAAACGTCGAGGACGATAAGCTTCACGATGCCAAGATTTTACCACTTGCCACCGCCAAGAAAACGAAGCACTGGTCGCAGTTGGCGCCGATTGCTGACAATCCAGTCATGGGGGCACCTGGCGCACCAGTCAACTTGGCGGACGGCGACTTCAACGAAGCGGAGAGTCACGAGTCATTCTTGAAAGCGCTCTTGGAATGGCGCGCCACGGATGTGCAGCCCGAGCACGATGACAATGGGTTCTGGTCCAACCCGCTTGGACATGATGCTGGGGGCGGTGCACTTCTCAGCGGCCAGTTTGATGAAGAGCAGAGCCACGCAGCTTTTCTCGACGCGCTAGCTGCATGGCGCCGCAAGCCCACCAACAGCATCAACAGTGCGCAAACACCCAAGGAAACGACGCAAAGTGGCACAGCTGGTAGTCCCATCGAGCCGAAGCGAAGCTGCTGGCAGTGCTACGCTCTCTTCAAAACGTCGCAAATGATTCTCGACGCGGCGTCGCGCAAGGAGTTTTGCTCCAACGAGTGCAGAGGCCGGTTTTGTGTCGAGTACGCACGGTTCTACGCGCCTACCTCGCTCTCTGGGAGTGACTCGCCCAGCAATTAAGAGCCATTATCTCTCGCGTCTGCTTCAAGAGTGCGGTGCAGTAAATCTAAAATGCGTGTAATAGAGTAGGAAGCAATTTTCGTGTGTGAAGATTTGTTTTATCGCGTGGCGTCCAGAGCGGCCGCTTCGCGCTTTTCTTACTCAACGTTGTGAGCGTTGAAGAGATTTGCTTGACAGTGTCGCGATCCATTACGCCATCGTAAGTGGCGTTGTCTCCCGTGGTATCTAGCACTTCGGCTAGATAACGAGTTGTTTTGAATTGCATGCTACCTTCGAAATCGCGAAGCATGTGTGGGGCAGCTGCGCCCCGATGATGGCGTCGAACAACGGGAGACGCATCGGCCGAGTGTTGGGGAAAATACCATTCTTCCTTGGGTCTTACGCGAACGTTGTGGGGTGATGTGATCTCATTGGGCTTGGTCCATGAAGCCTGTAGCTCGGAGTGAGGTTATCCTTTCAACGCATTCAGGCGCTGTGTACCAGTGTGGCTGTCTTGAGGGATGACGAAGATACTTCTGCAGTCAGCTACAACACAGAAATAGTCTGATGCATTGCTGCCGTCGCGGATCGTACGCTTTCCTTGCTGGACGCGCTGCTGTCATTGATGTAGCGACTGAGCTCGACTTCGACACGCTCCAAGGCTGTCTCGATTGCCCTGACGCTGTCGACGTTGACGGTCTCGGATGTCACTTGGCTGACGATTTGCTGAATGCCAGCTTTTACGGGGTGCACAATTTGCTGAATGAACTCATATTGATCTCGCGCCTTGTGCAAGAGCCGCTCTTGCTTTTGAAGGGCCACAAGTACGTCGTTGTCATCTTCAACGATGAGACGCCGGGTGGTACGTCCTCGGTTGCCCTGGAGTTTAATTCGCAGCGCCTCCTGCCGCAGGTGAGGCCGATGTGCGCCATACAGAATTCGTACGATGCGACGCTTGACACTCGTCAAATGCTCAGTTTGGCTTGCCTGCCGCGCCTGAAGCTCGTCTCGGAGCTGCTCGTGCGCTCTGCACATCATCACAATCTCGTTTGGGTCCACACGATCGCCGTGCAGTCCAATGCGGCGAAAAGCTTCTTCGCAGCTAAACATGCGCAACTTGAGTGTCATCGTTGGGATAAGTGATTGACCGCTTGTCTTCGAGGCGAGAGACTTCCAACGCCTTCACAATCATGTGCAAGCTCCACCGCTTGCCTAAAGGCACTCGCATACCACTGCAACATTGCACTCGTTGCATACTCATAGTCTTGTCGAGGCCACAATTGATGTGTCCGGAGCTGCGTCGGCCACCCACAATGTTGGGAATTGCGTCAATCTATGGTGGTAGCTTCAATGAGAGAGTGCGGGAGTCAACGCTACTTGTCGCTCGTAAAATGCTTGAAACTTGGCCTTCTCGCGCAGCCATCGCTCGCGGTGCGAGAGCTCGGTCTCGAATAGGCGGACTTCGCGCGCAATCGTGGCTTTGAGCTCGGCGAGGCCTGACTGTGCACTATTCAGCGCCTCGCTCGCGACAATCTCAAGCCGATGCAGCTCATGTAGCCGATGCGTCTTTTCGCAGAGGTCGTGTGTGAGTTGGTGCTGCACCGTGATGAGAGCCGTCTTCTCCGTCTAAATGCACCATTTGTCAAGCGCGTCCTACTGGTAGTTGCCGTACTTCGTGGCGCCGCTTGATATGATCGTAGGACAAGATTTTGCGCATGACAGCGGAAATTTCGGTCGTCTTGAGCGCCAGCTTCTCCTCGAGATGGCGGATTTTCTACGCCATACGAGGTCTCGTCGTCCACTCTTGGCGCAAGACGCACCGAGTTTTTCGCGTAGAAGGGCCGACGCGAGTACGACGCGATCGTTTGCAGTCGGCCTGCGTCGTCGTGTGTCGACTCTGTGATGCCAAGCGCCGCACACTCCCGTTGTAGGTCCAGCAGCGCCATTCGCGCTTTTGCCACGTCGTCCGATTTTTTTGCAGAGGAATATTGAAGCTTGTCGGCCTCCGAACGCTTCGTGTCGACGACCTTGCGCACGGCAGACTCGAAATCTCTTATGAGGTCTGCGGACGACGCTGCCTTGGCGTGAGGCTGGCGCACACCGAGATGAACCATCTTGGCTGCTCGGGGCGGTGGGAGCGCCAGCGCGTGGTTCGACATTACTGGCACTGGCGCCGCAACCGACATGCGAGGTTGCGTTGCCGAAGACGGTCGGGCCCCTTCGGACTGTGAAGGCGCTAGCGCCCTGGCTTCAAGCACGACACCAACGACTGTCGCGCGATGCTTGGACTGCCGCTCTTCGTCCATCTCGCTGCCCTTTTGCGCGGCACGGGCCGGTTACACGTAACAACAAACGACCAAGTGGGAACGACGATTGGGGAAAACCATATTTATTTCGAACGCGCTGTCTGTGCTATATGTCGTGACTTCAGGAATGCCAGGGACCGTTCTGGACTGCAGAAATCCTGGATTTGTGTATAGGTCGCACTCTGTTGCCCGAGTAAATGAACAAAATGGCGCAACTACTGGGCAGGGCTAGTCCAGCGTTCGAGAGAGCCAAGATAGGGTGCGGTGAAACGCATTCCCATCCATCACGATACTTTTTGCAGCGATGATTGGTTGCCTATGAACAGCCAGAGGGCAGCTCGTGCGCTGGTCTGCGAGCGTTCACTACAATTCCCGTCTGCTACCATGCAAACTCTTATCCGAGCGGGTATTAATAATTTAGCCACTGCAAGTGCCGGCGCCATCTCGACTCAATGGGGCAACAGCGGTTGCAACCAATAGCGGAAACGTCGCAGTCATAGGAGGACGTGCTTCCTGGCCGAGAAGCTCGCTGACAGCTAAGTTAACACACGCACGGACGTGAAAGTGCGTTGCATAGATTGTTTGCACGTGACATTGTTGACGGTTGAAGCGATATCAACTAGCTACTCGAGTGACCAACCGGGTACTTGTATATATTTCCAGCAGCCTAACGCCTTGACCACTCGGCCAGGCTGACTTTCGGATACAGTGTATTCTTGCCATTATATTCACTCTTAAACTTCCCACTCTTCTTAAGTCACCATCGGCACTGCACAGCGGAACAAATACCAGCTTGATTTCGGGCTTTATAGTAATGCAATTCGCGCGCGAGGACCGAATGAGCTTACATGGTTTCTCTGAAGTTGTGGGACGCCGAGAGCTGTTGCCGCATCGGGACGTGTTTGGGCGTGGAAGGTCGATCGATATCCTGAACAACACCGTGCTTGTCGCCGTGGTTGCTCCAGTCGCCCAATCCTCGAAAACTTCGGCGATAGGAGCTCGGTTCTTCGCACGGCCCTGGTTTGCCGAGCTGACGTACAAGCGTGCCCCTGAACCTAGCCTGGATTCGCGTTGCCGCGTGACTGCGATCATTCAGCAAGTCCGTCGGGCGCGGTTCGTCAACGTTCGTTCGCATCGATTTGCGCACAAGAGATCCTCGGATGTGCGCCTGGATTCGGCAAATGCTGTCATGGTCCATCGGCTTGGCAAACGTCGGCAGCGGACGCACGACGTCTTTCGACCGCGACCGCGCGTGCTGGCGTGTGAGAGCACCGCGAAAGTGGGCTTGAATGCGCGTCGCCGCAGCGTCTGTGTCTGGCGTTGGTCGTGAAGTGGACGAATCCACACGCATGCCCAAGCTTCGTCGCAACTCCATCGTATTCCGGCGAGCAAGGGCACCGCGAATGTTGGCTTGAATGCGCATCGCTGCGAGACGGGTTTCGTCCGTTCTCGTCCAGGGCCTCTTGCGTCTCCTCGTCGTCGTTCTCGTAGGCTTCGTAGTCGTCATCGTAGGCGCTCTCGACGTCGCCATGAGCCTTTGAAGAGTTGCCAGAGGATGGCGTCGCACACTGGTTGTCATCAAGTAGTTGCGTCGTGCTGTTGTGCTGCTGGATGAACTGACGCATGTCGTTTTCCATTTCCGCGAGCTTGAAAAGTACCGTGTCAGCATGATCAGCTGTCGTTGGCCGGCCTGGCGACTCGATCAGCAACTTTTTGTTGAGCGTCAGCGCAACTCGTGGCAACAAATCGGCAGCTGACAGTGGAAGCCGCTCCAACACGATGACGGAGTCCAGCGTCGACTCTTGATGTGGCTCGCGTACAGATAGCGAGCACGTGCCGTCTCTGTGATCCGTGAGTGTGCAGATGTAGTACGTCCCCTGCAAAACATGACCCGTCTCCCAGACAACGACGGCCGCGGAGGTTGAAGGCTGACAGAGACGCACGGCTCCATTGTCAACAAGAATGCACGGCAGTAGCATCCGCACAGCCACATCGACAGTCGATGCCGTCACATGCATCTCGCGCAAGGCTTGCCGAAGTTCATCACTCGTAAGCTCGAGACAAAACGTCTGGCGTGAGACGGTGTGCTGGACGTCAAAGCGAACGCCATTGGGTGTCGACGACGCAGACACCGTGTAGTCCTCGTCAAGTATAGAGCACGAAGCGACGAGGCAAAAGAGCACATTTTGCGCCAAACCCGCCAACGAGCGCACTTCGTTAAGCGGAAGGTACAGCATCGAGCTGTCTTGCTCGAATCGGACGCGGTCGCAGAGAAGCCGCGATATGGTCTCGACGGAGAACTCTTCTTCAATCGAGACGACGTCTTTGAGAAGCCCAAGCATGTCGTCTTTGGAGGCGTATAGCTCATACGTCGTATCTGCGCTCGCGTCGTGGGCTGAGATCGTCATGCCGTATGTCGAGGCGCTGGCAACGGTCACGACAAAGGTGACGCCGTCGATGGTCCGGCCCTTCTTGAATAGATGCGATGGCGCTGGCAGCGGCGACTTGGGTGTCACATGCGTGAACTCACTTGACGGGCCCCATTTGAAGCGCGGGCTGAGGTGGTCAAGCACGGGTAGTCCTGGGCGCGCCCCCACCTTTTTTGGCTCGAAGGCAGGCTTTCGGGCCTTGTGACGGCACAAGGGCGGCACCGTCGTCGGAGGTGTTGCGACTTTCACGTTGATAGTCGGCAAGCTTAAATTGTAGTACTGAAGAAGGTCGTCCTCTTCGTCGTCCAAAGTCTGTGCCTGCATGAACGCTCGCGCGTTCTTCAGCGTGGGGTCTATTGTGTCTGTCGTGCTTGTTGTGGCGGGCGGACTTGGCTTGAGCAGAGGAAAGTTGCAGATTGACTTGAGGTACTTGACGCTCTGCTGCCACTCCTTGCGCATCCTCGTGTTTTTGTAGTGCGTTTTTGTTTTGCGCACGCGACGCGTGATTGCCTATGCTCGATTTCGTGATCGCAAAACTATGTTGGCGTGCTACCAAGTTGTCGCTTTGGATTTGCCGCAGTCGCTGAGTCCGGAAGGTCCCGTTCAGCGACTTCTTCAGTGGCGGCGGCGCGCTCGGCTTGAGCGGGCTTGCGTGACGCGGGCTGTGGTACACTGTGTACGACACTGTGTTGACGGACGACGCGGGCGACGGGTGGAATTCCCATGCTGAGCAGTGCATGACGTCCGACATACGGTTGACGAGCAAGTTGTTATGGCGCTCGATCTCGTCATGCCGTTCTACCACACATTAGAGACGACCAAGATGCACAAACCTACCTTCCATCTCGCGATCACGCTTCATGTTGTGCAGGAGATGGTACATTGTTGACGTGCGAGGCTTGTGCGTGTCAATCGCCGACCGCGTTTGCTGGAGTTTCTTGCGGTGGATCTCCTTGGCGACCTCGAGTTCCCGGTCGCGGCATACCTTACTACTCGTCTTCTCGGCCCGGTGCATCAGGCCGCAATCGTGTTGAACGGCCTATCTATACGCCGGTTTTGGTTTCCTATGTTTAGTGGCGCCCTCCCTGCGGTTACGTCAAGGGGCGGGCAGGAGGCTCTACGAAGCAGCCGGTTGATCTCGTTGCCACGATTCAACGGTCTTGGTACCACCATCCGGGTGACGCACATCAGTCTACTTGGGCAGGCCGCCCAGTACTAGTAGGCCAGCTCGTCTATTTGAGCAAGGATTTGAGATAATGGCGCCACGACCTTCGGTATCCGGAGACTGGCATATCCGGCTACGACGCACGCAAAAGCATGATGAACCAGGCGAAGGCGACCAGACTCTCGAGAGCATGCTGGCTGTCCACCCGCGCGTGGGCACTGAAGCCACTCCACCTGGAGCCTCTGGCCCCAGCCCCGTCCGATCTGGAGATTGCACAGGCCCAGGTTGGTCCAACCTGCATTAACCAGAGACGTCTCATACACAGTGTGAACGATAGAAGCCAAAGCGCATTGCACAATTGGCAACCGAGATCGGCCTTCATGACGACGAGCTTTCGTTGCACGGGAAGTTCAAGGCTAAGGTTGCGCTCTCGGTCCTCAATCGGCTCGAGAATGCTCCTCAAGGCAAGTATGTCGTCGTTGGTGGAATCACACCAACGCCACTGGGCGAGGGCAAGACGACGTGCGTGATGGGGCTGGCCCAAGCCTTTAGCGCGCATCTCAACACAAATAGCTTTGCGTGCGTTCGGCAGCCGTCACAGGGCCCGATCTTTGGCATCAAAGTACTCCTACCAAGCGTAGTACACCATCAACGCAACATTGTAGGGGGGCGCGGCGGGCGGTGGCTACGCTCAAGTCATTCCCATGGTGATGTCTATGCATGTCGTGGGGAGGCGACTCAAGAAATACGTAGGACGAGTTCAACATGCACTTGACGGGTGATATCCACGCCGTGACGGCCGCCACCAATCTATTGGCCGCCGCCATCGACGCCCGTATCTTCCATGAATCTCAGCTGACAGACGAAACGTTGTTTGCGCGGCTCGTCTCGAACAAGATTGCTCCATCACAACCCAAGTTTACCCCGGCCATGCTACGCCGCTTGGGCAAGCTCGGTACGCTTCATTTCTGCACTTCACGCATTTGATAAGATAAGTGCACAGGCATCTCGGGCCACGACCCAGCTGAGTTGTCAAGGCGCGATCGTGCTCGATTCGCACGACTCGATATTGACCCGTCGACAATCACCATCAAGCGGGTGCTGGACACGAACGACCGGTTCCTGCGCCAAGTCTCAATCGGACACAGTCCGACGGAGAAGGGTCAGGTCCGCAATACCGGCTTTGACATCAGTGGTGACTACTTGCATTTGCATCAAGGTCCATTGTCGTCATATGGCTCCTCGCGGTAGTCGCCAGCGAGGTCATGGCGATCCTTGCGTTGGCACGTGACATGCATGATATGCGCATTCGCATCGGTGCCATCATCGTCGGCTTCAGTCGCGACGGTGCTGCGGTGACTGCGGACGATATTGGCGTCGCGGGGGCTATGATGGCTCTCATGAAGGACGCCTTGCAGCCAACGCTCATGCAAACGCTTGAGGGCTCACCAGGTAATGCCTACGACCGGCCTGGATTATGACGACGAATTAGTGTTCGTGCACGCGGGGCCCTTTGCGAACATCGCGCACGGAAACTCGTCCATCATCGCTGACAAGATCGCAGTACGAAACTGACGCATCCCAGCACCTAGCTCACGCGCAACTGTAGCTCAAGCTCGTGGGACGTGGTGGCATCGTCATTACGGAGGCTGGTTTTGGTGCCGATATGGGTATCGAGAAGTTTTGCAACATCAAGTGCGCTAGCAGTGGTCTGCGTCCCGACTGCATCGTGCTTGTCGCGACAGTGCGCGCGCTCAAGATGCACGGTGGCGGTTCACCTGTTGTTGCCGGAAAACCAATGCCGGCTGAGTACCTCACGGAGCGTGTCGACCTCGTGCGCGCCGGGTGTGCCAACCTACATGCGCACGTGCAAATCGCCGCGTCTCTTGGTGTGCCCGTCGTTGTCGCTGTGAGTCCGTTTTTGCAAGATACACCAGCCGAATTGGACGCGATCATGAACGAATCCAAGGCTGCGGGCGCGACCGCCGCTGTCGTTGCCCGCTACCACGCGCTCGGTGGCCGCGGCACGGTCGACTTGGCAGAGGCTGTTATTGCGGCCACTTCGTTGCCCAGTAGTATGTTTGCACCAACGTACGACGCTCAAAGCTCCATCGAAGCCAAAGTTGACGCTATCGTCAAAACGATCTACGGTGGTGGTGGCACCGATTGGAGACCAGAAGCGAAAGCACGTGCATCCTGGTACATTGTGTTGTGCATTGAATGTTACGCGACCGCGCCTTTAGGTATGCATCGAAAGGGTACGGCGACCTTCCCATTTGCATGGCCAAGACGCAGTACTCACTTTCCCATGACCCGGCGTTGAAAGGCCGTCCCGTCGACTTTACCGTGCCTATCACGGACGTGCGCTTGTACGCTGGCGCTGGTTTTCTCACAGCACTGACAGGCGACGTGGCAACGATGCCAGGCCTCGCCACCCGCCCCAGCTTTCATGATATTGACGTCCTCCCTGACGGCACAATCACAGGTCTCTCGTAGCCTTAACCAGAATATTGCAGAAACTTCAAGATGCGAGCATGCGTGTCATATTATGCAATAGTGCTGCACTTCGTTGCGCAGGACATGGGTTGCTGCCACGACTTAGTTGCGGCCACCGAAGCGCTCGTGCAACTCGGCGACATCAATGTCATGGACCTTCTGGTAGCCGTCGGGCTTGAACAAGTAGACGCGGCAAAGACCACCACTGTACGAGTCGCGGTACGTGGCTTGGTAGATTGCGTTGAGGCCGAGCTCAATTGCTTCGTCGTCTTCCAAGTCCCACCGGTAATGCGTGTCCAAGACACCGTACGCGTACGTGCTACCCGAGCCGACAGAGAACTTCGGCTTCTTCGCACTCGCACGCATGCGCGACCCTTCGTCGTCGACGTAGTAGAGCGTCGGCTGGCCGTCGTCGTAGCCCATCATCATCATACCAAGCGAGAGGCCGTACGACTTGTAGTAGTTGCATGTGTTGGCAATGAGCTTGCTCGCGGCGCGGATCGAGATGCGGTGACGGTTGCGCAACTCATACATGCGGCACTGCACGGCGAGGTTACGCTGCCAGTACTGACAGTCGGCGGCGCCACCCGCGATCGTCGCAAGCATGTACGGCGTGATCTCGTTGATCTTGTCGACAGACTGCGACGCGATGAACGGTCCCTGCGTCGAGCGCGAATCGACGGCTGCAAGGATGCCACCCTTGAAGCAGAAGGCCAGCGTCGTCGTACCCTTGTCGAACTTGAGCGTCTGGTCGTTGTCTTCGTGGTACTTGATCTTGAGGTTCGTGCGGCAATAGAGCGCCGGGTCAGCCACAGGCGGCAGCATGAAGCTGTTCATGCTGCCGACGCCCTCAACCATGGAGCCGCTGGCGTCTTCACCCAGCATCTCGTCGTGGCGGGACTTCTTCAGGAAGGGCAGCGCGACCGAGTTCATCATATCTTTCTTCAGCCCGAAGCGGTTCGACTTGTCCGCACCGCAGAGTCAAAGGGGGCCTGTACGCTACGTACGGTGTACATTGTACGTCGTCGCCGTACGTTCAACGTACATGCACCCGATTGGCCGAAATCCATGGAACGAGCGACTTCGAGATCTTCTGTCGGCGCGCACATCACCGATGCTAGAAGGCCCAGTGACACCCAACGACATGCAGAGGAACCAGCGTTTGTAGATCGGCGACAACTATCCTAGAAATGATATGATGCAGCGGGCCGAACCAATCGAGGAAACGTGCAAGCGAGTGTACTTCGCTCTACCAACCCAGGCTCGATTATCCGGATGCGTTTCCTTACTGTTAACGCTACATGTACGTACGAGTAAATAAAGCTTAATCCGCTTGCGCGAAGTGTCTGGTGAGGTAGCAGGAGCATTTGTCTATGAGATGTGTACTGCTACATCGGAGATTACTGTGCCTGGGCGCGTGGCCCCTTTGGATTATGATTTATCCGAATGCTGGACAGTTGCAAAATTTGTTTGTTTACCCATCCGATTTCGAAACGCAAAAAAAATGACGCTCTTCCTCGCGAACGAGAGCGTCGCGGGTGATGAGGCGCTACCGTCGACCTTCGAGCTCATCATGCAAGACCGCATGGCCGGCGGCTTCAAGCCCGCGGCACAGTACCTCGTCAATGTCCTCTGCGACACGTACCCACATCTCGCGTCCTCAGCGCCCGTCAAGCACTTCCACGAGACGTACGCGCTCCTGAAGCTTCTCGTCGAGCGCTATTGCCTCGCGCACTACGACAGCCTTCTCTCCGAACGATTCTACGGTATTAAGCGCGTTGAGCTGGATGGGCCGCTCACGGAGCGCGGCCGTCACTTCGGGCTCCTCTACGACGTTGGCGTGCCGTACGTCAAGGCCAAGCTCGACGCTTACTATCACAGCCTCGTAGCCACAAATCTTGGTCATCGCGGCGACGGTGAGAGTGATACGGACGAAGACGATGCGCCAGTTCCTGCCGAGCTCTTGTCGCCACCGTCCAAGATGGAGCGCTTCTGGCGGCAGTGGACGACGCTTCGGATGTGGAGCCAGCTCAAGAGGCTGTTTGTCGACGTCTACCCCACGGCTCACTTTACGTACGAAGGCTCATTTCTTTTGTATCAGGTACATGGAGGCCTTATCGCTCTCTTGGTTGCTCATGGCTCATAGTGGATGTACCTCTTTGGGTACACCCGCCACTTTACGCCGTTTCTCCGAGCGATGAAGGTCGCGTTCGCGCGGATTACGCCCCACGACATTGTACGTCTCGAGTTGTCAACGCGCATCGTGTCACGTGCGGATTCTAGTCGACGTTCGACCAGAAGCGCCTTCTCCAGCGCGCGCATATCCTCCAGGAGCTCGGAGCGCGCCCCAGTCTCGTGAACGGCCTCCGCAAAATGCTCTACAAGGCGACGTGGATGACACTAGATCACTCGCAAGCGATTGTCATCTTCACGATCATCGGCTTCAAGTTTATTGAGTGGATGTACTCGGACATGAACCCGCGCCAGACGCCGCATGGCCCCATCAACTGCCCGCCGCCGCCGCCGCCGTTGGCGCCGCAGCTCAATCTGAGCGCGATTGCCATGTCGTCCGACGTACAACTCGCATTCTTCTCTTGCACGTTAATGACGTTATCGCGTAGACCCATCGCTGCGGTCTGTGCCAACGTCGTCGCACAAACCCCGCAAGCTGCATCTCAGGCTTTGTGTTTTGCTATCCGTGCATTTACGAGTATGTGATCGACCACGGCGAGTGCCCCGTCACGCGCCTTCCATGCGACGTGTCGTCGGTTGTGCGCATATACGAGGACGCAGAGCCGTCGGCTTGATACAAAGATCTTAGTGGCTGCCTTCGAGCTGCGAAAGGACTTGGTCATACAGCTGAAACTTCTTTGAGAGATTCCCCATGACGTGCGAGTAGCGCAGGAGCAGGGCCTCGACTTGTGCATGCCGCGCCATAACCTGCTGGGCCAAAATCAAGTTGGATGTTTCGGCACGCGACAAGATTGTGTGTGACTCTGGCGCAATCGTGGGCAGTGTCACGAAGCGTTCAAGCTCCTGGATCTTCTGCGCCTCGGTCGACATCGTCTGGACCATGTCGTGGGACGTCAAGACGATGGTCTTGGTAGTTTGTTCAAGGTTCCCCGATGCTGGGTGTGATTGGAGCTTGAGCTCTCCGAGGAAACCTGGCGCCAATAGCTTCTTGTTCTGCTCGTCTACAAGCACCATGAGTTACGAGGTTTCGATAGTGACAGTACATGCGAGGTGCAAGGGACCAAGGTTGGGCGGGTCGATGCGGTTCTCGATCTGATGGAGCTTTTCAGAAAGCTCATGCAGACGCACGTGCACTGACGGCGCGTCTTCCGTCTTAGAGAGCATGCCTACGGCGCCGTAGAGGTCGGCCAGGCGACGTTCGAGCGACATCAACTCGGCGTCCATCGTCGCGTCGTCACGAATCTTCGCCCGAGCCCTTATGTCATTTCAGAGGACCTCTGATGCCGTATACAAAGCAAGCGTTGAAAGCAATAAAAGCATATGCTGTGCGAAACCATCACATTTTCTCGTCGGTTTCGTGCGAAAATACCTAGACGAGCAGTTTTCACGCGCGATGCACGGGACAAAGCGGCCTCCAGCCAAGCTCGTGTACAAGCCGCCGAGTGAGCGCGGCCTCGTGACGGCCAAGGAAGCGTCCAACATGAACCGCTCAACGAGTGGTATTGCAGGCGCGCTCGACACGCTTGCGGGGCGCATGGACATGCTCGAGAGAGAGATCAAGGCCGACATGAAGGGCAAGAAGGACTACGAGGACGAGCTCTTCAAGCTCAATACGCGCAAGGAGGACATTATGCGCAAGCTCGCCGAGTGCGAGCGCTGGAATGGCATATTCCAGAGCAAGATAAAGCCGCTCGAGAACTCGTACCTCGCGACAACCGTCGAGATGAGCGAAGAGTACGACCAAGCCAAGATCAAGCATGCGCAGGGCCTCCAAGTTCTGATCGACAACTTTAACTACCACCCCGAGTACAAGCGCTACAACGACGACTTTTCGGCGGTGCCGTTTCGGCCAAAGTAGTGTATTACCAGGAAGAGACGGGTCCTTTGTGTTAGTGTTTCACCGACTCGCGGAGGCCCTCGATTTCAAGTGCACGCGCATACGGCATGCGTCGCGACTGCTTCTCGACAACGAGGGACGAGTGTGATGGTCCAGCAGCTGGCACCGTTGCATTGGCCTTGCGAGACTCAACCTCGAGCTGTCCGACACGGGCCTAGTACAATCAGGGAATGATATCGATCATTCAACTTGGTGGTGGCTGGACAGACCTCAAGGTACGCAATACGATCACAAGAAAGGCGCAGCGCTGTCTTGGCGTCGGTCGTTGCTGCTTCGAGCTCGGCGTCGTGCGAAGCCATTGTTGCCGCTAGGCGTGCCTTCAGGTTGTCAATGCTACGTGCCTGTTCCACCTTGAGCTCGTGCAGACGTTCGTTCGACTCTTGTTGGAGGCGCGCGAGTTTCTCGTTCGCTTCTTTCGAGAGAAGCGTCACATCTGCCTCGTGTTTCGCACTTGCGTCGTGCAGTGCGCGCCGGAGAAGCGCATTGGATACATGCGCAGCTGTTGTGTCGCGCGTAGCCGCCACGAGTTGCGCTTTGGTGGTTTCGAGTTCGCGTGTCAAAACTCCAAGCGCATCCACGGCATCAGCAGCTTTGGCCTGGAGGTCGTAGTACGACGTGCACATGCTCACAGTCGGCTTTACTGTAAGCTGCCGGATGTTGCCTTTCTGCGCTTGGTCGATCATTTGATTTGAGTCCATGCGCCAATGGGCCCACTTGCCCCACCTACGCGAAAAATGTGATTTCGACCATGTCATCGAGGAATTGTATACATACATGCCACAGGCCGGCACGTAATGCACGACATCGTTCTTGGAGCAGAAAAAGCACTTGCCATCCTTAAAAGACGGCAAGACAGACGAAATACCGCAGCCGGGCTTCGTTTCAGCCTCGACCGAGAGTGTTGATGCTACCGAGCTGGGGGATATCCTACTTTTGGATGTGTAGAACAGTCTACATCGTTGTAGGCGCGTACGTGCAATGTGTATGTGTCGGAGAGTTGACCGCGTTTCGGCTTGCCAGAATATGCGGCTCAAAGCCAGCATTGTACTCCGACACGATCTTCTCGAGAAGCGGAAATTCGCGGTTGAGACCGTCCTGTAGCTGCGGGTATAGAAAGCACGTGCGCTGTAAGAAGCCCACTAGCTACATATAACAGCAAATATGACTCGCTCGCTTGCATGGGTGACCTACCTGGCGCCACGCCAAAACAAAGCGACTCACAACGCCCAGGGCGATCATGGCCGAGGCCGCGAGCAACGTGTACCCCACACTGTGAGCTGAGAAAACGATCCACTCGGCTGACATCACCAGCGACATGACCCACAAAAGCACTACAGAAGGAATGCATCTCTGGCGAAAGTAATTGCGACCACGTACATGCGCCGATGCAAGGGACGACAGCCAACATGGTCAGCTAGCATTCAACATGTGAGTTGGCGCAGAACAAGCTCGCGAAATGATGTAGTACGCGGCGTGTGGTCATGACGAGAAAGATGGTGACGCCAGCGCAGTGGCTGAACCACACCCAGCCAGTCGCTTCGTCGACAAACTTGAACATATCGGGGAACGAAGCGAAGCTGCCCAAGGTAAAGGCGCCCCACAGAAGCACACCCAAGAAGAGCGTCGTCCCATTCATGTCGACTGTCATTGTGGCCTGCGGACACGATAACGTTGCCTTGGTTTTGCTAGCTTCGAGAAGCGTTCGTGACACCTACGTCAAGTCCGTTTGAAAATCATCCTAACGACAAGAGAGAATACCGCAAGGCTAATCCGCTCGCTGTTCAGACGCTTCCGGAGCACGAAGCGTTCCCGCGCGTTGTACTCGGAGTAGTACGATATCGTGTTGAAAATCCATATCACAGGCGCGCAGTACAGAAACGAAAGCACGGCTTCGAGCTACAGATGATGGATGTTTGTACGCATCATTCATTGGAACGGAGGACACCTGGAGCGTTGATGGTCGCAGAAAAACAGCCACGTAAAAGTAAACGACAGCTGTGGTCCAACTGCCGATAGCAGTGTACACAAAGCCCAGCGGTGTGACCTTGGGAATCGTGTAGAAGGACAGACCAAAGAGGACAAAGAGGACGTCCTGTGCCAGCTTTCGTCAGAGAAAACCCCTTTCGCAACAACCTCCGTACCCATTGATGCAACACGGAGCGCTGAAGGGCGTACATAAGCATGGTCGAGAGGCCATTGCACATGGCGACCATGAACATGAGGCGCTCGTCGGTCTTGACAAGGTCCTACGCCATTCCATGGAGCATGATAATTCTTGATCGCTTTTTCAACTCATTACCATCTTGACGAGGATATGGAGACCGATCTGCAGCACTACAAGGAAGAGTCGCGCAGGAATCGTCACTTGCAAGTTCAGCGAGTCGTGCTCGACGCTGTCGCTGATGGCGAAGACGAGGTGGCTGATCGCTGCCGGGATGAGGCCTCGCAACCAAAGCGCCTTCTGGCGTGAGTGACAGAAAGCCTGGTAGCTCTGTTCGAGACCGCCGTCCTGGTAACGAAGCGTGTACTTGTTCACGCACACCGTCGTGTGCTGCATGATGCTGGCCACCGCCTGCTCTGTCGCTGGTCAATGCGACCGCGATGAACGTGATTACGTCCGACTCCGGATTCTATGGCGTAGTATTTATATTTACGCCACAGATACAAAATATTAGATATAATATATTCTCGTAAAATCAAGTTTTTCCGGTAGGTCAGCTAGTTTATTTGTCTTGGGTGCGATACACATACAAAGAGCTAGTGTATCTGGTTTCTTCAGAGCGCCTCATTTGAACGTTGTTGAACTTTGCCGAGGATATTTGCCTCATCTGAGGATAGCAGGCATGGGTAGCAGGGACCAATTGCGTCATTGTAGCGTGGCAGCTTGGATTGCATTGCGTGGAAATCGAGCAGTACGCAAGACGCACGCATGAAGACACGTAGACAAAAAAGTGGAGCTCGACACCGATTAAAAAGGGTAGCGCCTCGGTCTAGTGCCGCCAGCCGATTCGAGTCCAAGATCGTCCTCCATTCGCGACCATGACCAGGCCGAAGGGAAATTATTATCAGTTTGCAAATGGGCATAACCCACAAACGGCAGTGTTGCAGGTCGATGGTCCCGTTGTGAAAGCGCATGATTCTTCCGAGGTGGTGCGTGTTGTTGAGACCATGGGTTTGCATCATGGCTCATCGAGACGACAGCAATCGCTCCCGTTAGCGTGGTGGTCAGTTGAATGAACAGCTCAATGCGATTTCGACGAGCAAATGGCCTGGCTGTAGCGACGATATATAAGTGTCAAATTCCGGCATATACGGACATGGGCAAAAATGACAACGTCGTCGTGGTCTCGCGTATAGTGGATGACAGTGTGGTTGACGCTATTGGTGACGGGCAAACTGCGTGCTGGGGTACCGGTACGCCTGAAAGAGAGGTCAGTTTCGACTTTTTTCTCGGAATTATAGCCGTGAAAATTGCCCGGAAGCGACATGCGGGTATTTGTGGTCTTACTTGTTGACAATGGCTGCTTTCTTGGCAAGTACAGGTAAGGTATAGTGCACGTTTGGGAGCTCAAACTGCATGTGGTGTCTATTCAATAGAGTGCCATCGTCGCCACCATATACCACTGGACGACAAAGTCATTGGGTTGCAGTACTTAAAATTGCTTGCGAAAGCATTGTCAGTAGTGGCGTTAAGTAGGTGGCAGCGGCGGCTGGGCGAAGATCGAGCGTGGCGCTTTTACGAAAGAGGGCAAGCCCAGTGCCCCTACGGCCACATTTGCCTACGAGAAGATTATAAGAGTTTCTGCATTTATCCAGCTCGGCCTTATTGGCGGCTAGTCGCATTAAGAGCGAAACAGGCCCTTGCGGGGTGGGCTGACAGGATCTCACCAGTTTGCGGCTTGGATTGCATTGTGTGGAAAACAAGAAAGAGTGTACGCAAGACGCAAGCATGAATACGACACGTAGATTAATAAGCTCCGAGATTCACCTCCTAAAATACGGTGTGACCGTACTTGAGATTAGCGACGCCTTGATCTTTTTGTACCTCCAGTGAAAGTTGAGTGGGCGTGTCGTTGTCCAATCGATCGCGCATAGTGTATCGGCCCACCAGTCGCTTTGAGCTCGCGCATCTAATGGTGCGTGTCGCGAGATACATGTGTACATGTCGTGCTAGCAAAAGATTCAAACAAGCTATCGCGGGAGGCTTGGGACCTGCAGCAATGCGAGAGATCAACGATGGTGTAATTATCGACGAGTACAGAGCGTACTGTGCCAGTGCAAACGATCCCCGAGTTGCGGCTCAACAATTGCGTTTAATTCTGAGATGGATCGAAACGCTCTGCGCTCACGCTATGTATGGTTGCGAGTGTTGCGAGCTGACTTATCGCCAGTGCGATGAAAAGCGTGTATTCACGAATGAAATGAGTACGACCACCGGGCTCGTCCATGAGCTCCCGTGGGAAGTCTTTACTTGTACGAGTGGATCATCTTGTCGTAGATACTAAAGCCAGCGGCTTCGTTTGTACAATAAAGCGATGCTTCAAGACGTTCTCAAATTTTGGCGGTGCCAACGTGATAAAATGAGAGCTGACGCCATGTCGATAGCACATGGTCTGCAGTCGTGTACGCGTAGCGCAGCGCGCTCAAAAGAGCTGAACGGGACCGTGGAGCCCACTTTCGAGATAGTTTTGCAGATTTTGGAGCTTATGATTCTGGTTCGTGGATCCGTGGGGTTGTGGCGGGCGCACAATATAAACTTCTGAAAAGCTGTGAAGTTGCAAGCTCACCGACACACTTGAGCGCAGTCGCTTTATTCGTGCTGATGCGAGCTGCCTTACGGAACTCGCGTGGCGCAGCTTCTGGTTGAAGGCTGTCAATTTCCAAAGTTCGCAAGTTGTTGATGAAACTTTAAGCTCATCGACCTTCCCGGCAAGCCTTTACCGAGCATGAAGAGCGTAGGATCATAGTCCCACGCGACGCTGTGTGGCATTGCGCGACACCATTACAACCGGTCTGCGGGTGGGCTTATCCAACGTGCCGTCGCTATCTTCGAAAGGCTGTACAATTTGAAGAGGTGTCGACAGCGAAGTCCTCGCCCCATGTAGAGAGAGTCCTTTCTGCCAATAAGGCGTCGCCTTGGACATTCTTCCTCGTTTTAAGTGCTTGTTTTGTGAACCCATTATCAATGACATGTCGGGAAACGTGCTGGTCCGACCGGAGGCAAAGTCGACTCGGCGAACGAGTTTGCTTAGCGAATCCGATCATTGTCGCGATCGAAGAATGTTGACTAAGGCTACGCAACATATAGAGCGACTAGCTAGCGGCAATATCGAGCTGCTCCGCTACACGAACACAAAACGGGGGAAACTATCCGGTAAATTCATCATTAGACGTGAAGTGAGTCAAGTCAGTAAGCTTTTCAGTTCCTGTAAGCTATGTACAAGAGTTGTTTCGTTTGAGTTGTAGAGCCCATTGACCGACATCATTGTCCGCTAGTTTTTCCTGTAAAGCTACCTCGGCAGCGCGCTTCGCTTTACTACCGGCGCATCGCGCGGTAGTGCTCACTGAATTCGCTTGTCCCACCTCCAAACTAGGGTAAGCCCAGTGGCCCTACGGTCACACTTTTTGCGGCGATGTAGTCGGTGAATAGGTCATCGTGCAGCTAAGCTCGTATATAAGCTTGTATTTTGGTAGCGTAGTATCTGGTTTTGCATGGTCGGTATCGTCAAGGACCTCTTCGCAGACGATGTTTTTGGTGTACGTGCGGCCGTCCACACTCGACTTCAAGTTGAGAGCCAATATTTTGATGTTGGCACGCGCTTAAACGCGTGACATCGCAAAGTAGAGCTGTCCGTGCGCGAAAACTGATCCCGATAGGCAGATCCCTACTCGAGGTACCGTCTGACCCTGCGACTTTTTCATAGTTATCGCAAATGCGAGACAAATTGAGAACTGTAGACGCTTGAGCTGAACGGCAGCGTGTTGTGCGGACCGTTGTTGAGCGAGATGCGAGATATGATAACGACGTCGCCAGCTTCGCGCCAGTCAAAAACGTAGTCTGAATGCACCGGTCACACAATGTCCGCACCATGAGTCGCGTTCCGTTGCATAAACCGCGAGGTGGGCATTGGTTGCGCAGCAGCATGATAGTGGCGTTGACCTTGAGCTCGAGACGATGTGGAGGAAAGCCAGCGATGTTAATGGAGTTAAGGAACTCAACTGGGTAGTTGAGCAAGGTACTCTGGTTGCTCATTGATGGGGATAGAATGAAGCTATGTGTACACGAAATTGACCAAGTCAGTAAGCGCATGCGGGGAGTCGCAGTCGATGACCATGTCTTAGGGTGGGCAGATGTACTCGTCACCGAAGCCGCCATGTGCTGCCTGTTCACGACCGTAAGACCCGTTCCCAACGGCACGTTACATGTTTGTGAACGGCACCTCGTGTCCAAGAACGCGCATGTTGGTGAGGAGGTGGAAAGTAGACATGACGCTCCAGGCAACGCTCCGCTTCAAACAAGCTTCGACGAAATCTTGACGTGAAGCGCGTGGAATGACAGGCTAAGTTTGCTTGAAATCACCCGAGAAAAGAAAGGTCTTGCCGCCAAAAAGTCGAGGCGGCTCGGAGCAAATATCCTGGAGCATGCGATCGACGGTGTCAATGGCGTCCTTGTGGATCATCGAGCAATCGTCCCAGACGAAGAAATCGGCCTTGCGAAGCAACGCAGCGATGTGACTCTGTTTCCTCATGCCCAGGATCGTATCGGCGTTGACTGACAATGGGATCTTGAAGAGTGAGTGAGCATTAGCACTACCGTGTAGTGTGAGCGCAGCGAGGCCCGTAGAGGTAACGGCAATCGCGATGTGTTCATTGGACCGATACTATGCAAGCAGAAGGTTGAC